TTCAGAAAGTTCCTTGTTGGGCCGCGCCTTTTAAAGCAACAGTTCAGGAACGGTTTCGCGGGAAAAAACCACCAATAATGAAGTTGTAGATGAAAACCAGACGATTAATGTATGAAAAACTGGAAAAAAAAACGTCGGGGAGGGTCTTAGACAGGTACTCTCCCTCTGCCGCTCAGCAATGGATAAAGACGCACGTTGGACGAGTTGTCTGAACGTGCCCGCTGTAAACGCGCTCCATTTTTCAATCAATTTTCCCTGTGGTCCCAAAACGAGCACGATTGCCGACGCGTCCAATGACGGCCGGCAAGGGGGCGGGATTGGGGAAATCCCCAAGAACACCCATGTTTGAGGGACTTTCCACCCTGTTTTTGAGTTTCTGAGGTAAGTTCGTTTATTATTTCCACTGCATATGTTCTTCACTAGGGCTCGTGTATCCCTCAGTAGTAGTGGCATTGAAATTTTCGGACCCTCCCTGAACTGTTGCTTTAAGGCCCTATTGCCCACGACTGTCTAAACAAAATGTACTCTATCTATCCCAAGTGAATGGATAGCTCCCCCACAAAACTACTCTTTAATTTAGTTTGGGAGTATTGGTTTTAATCTATCAGTTGTTTTGCAGTTAGAAATGTGCGCTTTGGACGTACCCGAATTCGTATGGAACGGCACAATGGGGCTTCTCAGAGAGTGGTCGATACTCGCCTGTTGTGCATGGCTTCGCCATGTTTTTTTGTGGTTGGTTGTCACCTTATATCGTATCTCGACGTCCTTCTGGAAAGTCTGTAGACTGTGCGCAGGTAACATGAACATCCAGTGTCGGATTTTCAAACGTGCTGCGTTTACTCGGGTGCGCAGCACGTATATGGTGTGTGACCAGAGCTGTTTGGCGGACAACTGGAATGTTTCAGCCTGGTCTCGTACTTTTTTGCTGTGTGATTTTTTTCGTAAAATAAATTTTTCGTATGAAATGCAGCGTTTGCCGTTCGTGAAGTGAGTTTCTGAATCGTGTGTTTCTTGTTCCCGACCTAGTGCAGCGGTGATGTAGGTTTCGATTTTTGTTCCGAAGCCCTACGGTGTCCATGGTGACCTTCCCAAGCTCCCATCCCCTCGAAAGATGTCGTAGCAATTACGGAAATTGACCGGTCGTATGAAAGGAAAGTTATAGTAAAAAAACAAATGATATGGGCAGCGAGCAGTCGCTTTTATACTCCTAGATTTCCTCTTTCGAATGAATGCTCAAGTACCTCTGGATGTTCGAACACAGCCGAGTGCGGTGAAGCTAAATCTGGTGGCGACTATATGCAACAACCTAATAGTAAATGTGAAATAACACCCCTTTCAACTATGGAACAAGAGTGAGAATGCCGAAATGGTTTCTTCTACACCTCCGCTGAAACAACGGTCCCTTACTTTCACCACCACACATCAAACTCTCACTGGCCATGCCCTCCCGTCGTTGTTCCTGGTTGCCATAAGACAGGTGGTCTGATCCACATGGTGGAGCGCTGTCCAACCGGTTGTGAGCAAACGGCGTCTTCCGTAGGAAGGGGCTTAGTAGCTAGGCATGATTAGGGATGACGTCATTGGTTGGAGGCGAGCTCTACTTTTTCTGCGGTCAATTAACTGCTTCAGCTTTTATTCCAGTGGAATATTTAATGAACAAGAAGAATGGATTCGCCTCGGATGCGCGTGCTCGGTCCTTCAAATAATTTTGACATAAGCGTTTTGGCCAGCGGTTGATCCTTAGTTGAAAATAATATATGGTGTTCCTGCGCAGTCGCCAGTACAATGCGGCGACGCGCACGAACGCCTGAGGGATAGTTCAAATTTTTGAACTCAAGACAATGAGGCTATCCCGGCTCTCTCCAGGGTAACGATGAAAGTGGACGGTGTCTACGCGCGCGACGCGATGAGACCCACTGCCCGCATTCCCGCGGGCGTTCAACTTGCGGCCGTCTCCACTTCGAGTTTCGGCTGCGTATTGGTATAGTTGGCGAGTTTGCTCGACGCATTCTTTCCTCGTTGAGAGAGCGCAGAGAAAACGAGAAGTGGGAAGCGAGCACACATGAAAATCGATGACACGTGACATTGCGCGCCAGCAGGGTCAACCGTTACGTTGGACCGATATTGGAGCGACGTTGGACCGATGTTGACCGCTCTCCGCGCCGGCATTCACTCTCGCCACCCGCGAGCCGTCTGTGTCTCCGTGCGTACGTTCACTCTCGGCATTACTCTCGTCGTCGCGTTGGACTTTGTCCAACGGACGGTTGACCCTGCGGCGCAGTGCAAACGCTTCAGCGGGTCTATAGTTCGCGCGTTTGTACGTGACTGCGGCAGGACACATAATTCACGTTGACGTTCGTGTGCTCAACGTGTGACCGGCTTAGTCCAATTTTTGGTCTGTTCTTACTGTGGGTTCGACCGATACTGCTGACGTTATGCGCGCTGGTACTAACAGAGAAGAAAATCTTGAAGGACTCTGACATATCTTTCCTTTCAAAAGCGAGCAAGTGTCGGGTGGCAGACCATCACGCGCAAGTTTTAACGACGGCCTTTACAAAATGTTTGTCTCTCTGTCAACGAAATGATTAGCCTGTTGCAGTTGTATTCTATCGATTGTCACTAATTACAACTATCATTTACCAGAAATCAGCTATCACTATGAACAACTTCTAACCAGATTTACTTGGAGGCCGTCGTCAGTTGTGGTGTTTGGTCTGCACCCGACACTTTCTCGCTTTTTGAAGGGGAGGTTACATCTTCACTCATCGGACAATTAACAACACAAGAAGTGTCAAGGCCGTAGTACCTGATATGTTCTGTTTTGCCTACACTTGAGAGCGACGCTAAGCTTGACAGTTCTTAGCATGTTTTTTTTTTGTCAGCGGATTGCGTCAGCAGATGTCTCGCGGGTCTCATCTGGTAAGAGGGGGCATTGCTGGTGCACGGTCTGCTCTAATGTCAATTTGGCTCAAGGAGTCCTTTAAAGTTACGAGCTGCTATCAGCTTTTTTCCTGTTTTCATTGTTTATTGTTATTCTTCAGGTGTTTTGTGTAATGTATGTATTCTTGTACTAGATGACATTAACGTCTACGAAAAGTAATATTCACCTAGTCAGCAGGTCAGGACTAAGCCTAGGAGGGGGAGGAAGTCCCCCCGGGGAAAGCCAAGATTGCTCACGGATCCGGGGGCTCCTTCCCTTCTAGGGCACTCTACAGTAAAATAATGTGCCTTCCATGGTTTGAAATGTTTTGGATCGCATGCCCCCCCCTTACTGAATGAGACCCTGTCTCGCCGTCGGACAAATGAATCGACTTTTTATTGGCTTTGCTGATTTTTTTTTTTTGATTTAAAGCATTTACTCTATCAAATATTGCACACTACTAAGGCTTCTAGCCCCCGCCCCCCACGCCTGGTGTCAGAGATTGCGAACGGGCCAGCGATTGACTTCAACATCAAAGGTCTTACTGGATAAGCTAATTTTAGCCAGGTCAACCGTCCGTTGGACAAAGTCCAACGAGGGGGGGGGGGGTCGTATTTGGGGGAAAAGAGGGGGATCGTATTTCGCGAGGTAGCGTTAATGTTACAGTAAGGGAAGGGATGATTTTTTATGGAACGGAGAGGGGATTAGGTTGTAGGTTGGGATTTTTGACGAATACTATAGAATCGCCACCATGATGGCGATAGAGGGGGGGGTCGTATCGAGGCCCTCTAGAAGTTGGGAGGGGATCGTAAAATTTTCGAGAATTGGTCTAACGTGACGGTTGACCCTGCTTTTGCTTACAGTAGGGTATGATTCTGTGACCGCAAAAATAGCGATTCATGTCTTTCACATCCATCAATACAAGGTAAGGTTTATAAATACTGTAATAATAACAATAAATAGTGAAAGTACTGAATATCACAAGTATAATTGCACGTTCTCAACACCGAGTGTCATTTCAACAATAGTGGGCGATTGCACGAAATTCTCCGCAACGATATATGGAATAATAAAAAGGCAATAGGCAGAAGGCGGCAAATAGCGGCTGCGTTCATATCTTGGGCGAATTCGTGGCAGCTTAGAGCTGGCTGCAAACTCGTCGAGCATAAACGTAGCATAATGCATCACATGTTGTCGGAATGGGAGCGAGCGTCAGTGTACTCGGAGACCATTAACAAAATATTAATAAGTGAACAAGTGTAGCCGGTATAAAGGTTACGGTACAATTACGGTAACAATAGTTTTGTTAGGTGATTCATTCAATTACGCTCTACCGGTTACTAAATTATGTACTTGTTAGTCATTAGAGTTATTTGATTAGGCATGATTAAGGCGCAATTTTTGTGGACTGTAGTTTATAGTCGCGAACTGGATACAGCCTGTCCGATTTGTGGGACTGTGTTTATAGTCGGCGAACTGAAAACCAGCTGTCCACATGAAATATGCATATTGATTGCAGCCAAGCGTCGTCGTCGCCGACGATCTTTGTTAGTCTGCGTCTCTGCTATGAGAACACTGTCTCGTTTGTTGCCAAACGGTGCAGCGTCGACGCTTGGCTGCAACATATGGTGACGCGAGCAAGAAAAAATGTTCTACAACGAACATTACACGATGATATATCGATATGGATATAGTGAAATACACGGCGTGTTCCAGAAATGACGTCATCTTCCGATGACGTCATTTTCCCACGCTGTCGGCGGCAAGAAAGGGCGTGGCGAGCATGTGGCAGGCAGTCCTTTCCCTCACTCAACCTCATCATCACAGATTGTAGGGAGGTAAAAATTTGTACACAAGTCGTTGCTTCTTTTCGGGCTTTTGGATGATTCCTAAAATGTACAACAGGTAACCAATCAATACCGATCAATAAATCGCACAGCAGACCTTTTTTGTAGTATTGCCGAAGGCTTCGTGAAAGCTTGTCGTAGTTCATTTGGGCACGGTTCTTTCGTTGTCCCCAAAATCTCGCCAAATGATGAGACGACTCGATTTTAAAGGTCCCTGAATTACCGTACCATCGGAGCCGATCGATAATCGATTTACTAGCATGCTGGCATACCTTCATCTCGATCCACCCAACGAACACATGATCCATACTGCTTATTGGGATGATCGAGCAGTTCGCGGATGAAGTGCCATAGATGAACGGTGCCGGAGTGTCGTGGGAACGGGGATGGGCGTTGCTCTTCGGTGGGCGGAGTTTGCGTGTTCGTCATACTAAAGTGATTGCAATCGATTCGATAAATCAATAGAGCTTCAAAAATATTGATTTTCGGACTTACTCCATCCCATTCATTTGGCCACAGAATCGCATTCCATCTTGTTGCATCTGTAGCATACTTTGCAGATCGATACATTCATCGTCAGCGACTAAACGGAAAAATCAATAAATCGATATCCCGGGAAGGGCCTGGTAATTTCGACTCACTATCATGCATACTTGCATTACTGCTTCTGTCACTATCACTTGGCGAGGGAAGG